GAGGACTCAAACACAGTGTTAACATGACTCGGAACACTGACAAGGTTAGGATATCATCTGTGAGATGACTCCACACTCTGCTACACGGACAGGGTAAGGATGTCATCTGTGGGATGGATAACTCCACACTCTGCTACACTGACAGGGTAAGGATGTCATCTGTGGGATGACTCCAGGCCCTGCTAAACTGACAGGGTAAGGATGTCATCTGTGGGATGGCTCCGCTCTGTTACACTGACAGGTTAAGGATGTCATCTGTGGGATGACTCCACGCCCTGCTACACTGACAGGGTAAGGATGTCATCTGTGGGATGGATGACTCCACACTCTGCTACACTGACAGGGTAAGGATGTCATCTGTGGGATGACTCCACACTCTGCTACACTGACAAGGTAAGGATGTCATCTGTGGGATGACTCCAGGCCCTGCTAAACTGACAGGGTAAGGATGTCATCTGTGGGATGGCTCCGCTCTGTTACACTGACAGGTTAAGGATGTCATCTGTGGGATGACTCCACGCCCTGCTACACTGACAGGGTAAGGATGTCATCTGTGGGATGACACCACGCCCTTCCATCCTTACCCCGACTTTGAAGGTGATTGCGTGCAATAGTACCCGTACGGTGGTTGCGTGTCATCCTACCCTGTTGCTGATTGCGTGTCATCGTACCCCTTTGGTAATTTCGTGACATCCAACCCTGACAGTGATTGCGTGACATCGAACCTTGTTGGTGAATGCGTGACCAGAGACCATATACCCTCATTACCGCGGCAGTGATCGTTAATGATAATCTACTGCTGAGGCCTGTCCCTCGGTATATGGTCTCTGGCGTGACATTGTACCCTTTTGGTGCAGATTGCGTGTCTTTGAACCCTGACGGTGATTGCCTGCCATCGTACCATTGCGGTGATTGCGTGACATTGTATCCTGACGGTGACTGCGCGTCATCCTATCCTGACGGTGATTGCGTGCCATAGTGCCTTGGCCGTGATTGCGTGATATCGTATCCTGACGGTGACTGCGCGTCATCCTATCCTGACGGTGATTGCGTGCCATAGTGCCTTGGCCGTGATTGCGTGATATCGTATCCTGACGGTGATTGCGTGCCATAGTGCCTTGGCCGTGATTGCGTAATATCGTATCCTGACGGTGATTGCGTGCCATAGTGCCTTGGCCGTGATTGCGTGATATCGTATCCTGGCGATGCTGACTGCGTGTCATCCTATCCTGACGGTGATTGCGTGTCATTCCACCTTGGTGGGAATTGCGTGTCATCGTACCTCGTTGGGGGTTGCGTGTCATTTTAACTTGGTGGTGATTGCGTGTCAACCTATCCTGGCTGCACGGGTTGCTGCTCATAATATCAAACATTCTTAAGTCTTTCCCCGAAACAGGCAGTGACCATGTGTAGGATAGAACAGGTACGAGGGATTTTAGTGGAGGTTTAAAACTGACCCCGAGGTCTTGACTGAAAATGTAAGCTCGTGGAAGAAGGCCATAAGGGAAGCACACTTGGAGGCCTGAACCGACTTCCTCAAGGTTTTGCATTCTCAATCAGGACCGAGGAGGAGGCTTTGATGCAAATCAAAAACCGAAAAAAAATCTGACACGACCTTGTCGTTTATCAGCGCCTCTGTAGCCTGGTAGGTCATGCTATCTGTAACATTCCCGGTATTGCACAAGTTGGGGATTTTATGAGTTTTTTGTTTGTTGTTTAAGGCTGCACTCAGCAATATGCCAGCTATATGAAGGCGGTCTGTAAATAATCGAGTCTGGACCAGACAATCCAGTGATCCAACATCACGTAAGGAGAGAAGTTCTCCGACCCTACGTAAGGAGAGAAGTATCTCCGTTTTCCGTGTACACATCGTAGGATGAACACAGCCGCGGCATCCATGTAAACAGGCACCCTTAACTCCGTGGGGACAAAACCGCCTGGGTGGAAAGATCACCATTCGTTATTACGAGGAAGAATTCTCGTGTGAACTGCTCAATAACATCAGAGATTCCAAAGTTCTGTATAGAACTGTTGTGACAGTGACAGTGGAGTGGCTTTGTATTGTTTGTGGTTTTTTGTGTGTGGTTGTGTGTTGTTGTTGTATATATGTACACACACAAAGTTTTATTGTGTATTAGTTGTGTTATTCTTAGAACATCTGTATTAGTGTTAGTATTGGTAGAAGTAGACTATTAGTATTAGGATAGTGTATCGTGATAGTTGTATTGTTAGTAGTAGATAGTTGTATTATTAGTAGTAAACATTTGTACTGTTAGTATTCAGATATTAGTATTAGTAGTAGATGGTAGTATTGTTAGTTGTAGTAGAAGCTAGATTAGTTAGTTGTGTTAGTTAATTTGGTATTAGTTTGAATTTAAATATTGTTACTGGGATTTAAAATTACCTTAAGGGAGGGAATAAATCGTTATTACAACTTCATTTGTGTTTGTGGTTGATTCAATACGTGACAATGACATGCATCAACCAAGTCAGCGAGCCTGACCACCCGATCCCGTTAGTCGCCTTTTACGACAAGCAAAGTCGCCTTTTACGGCAAGCATGGGTTGCTGAAGAAATTTCACGGATCGGGGGATTTTATGAGGAACTACGGGGAACAGGGTAATTTTTTTGTTCAAACGTGAGGAGGCTGAGAGACGAGATAGCTCAGTGGGCGATTGACAGCTTGGCATTAATTGTTACCAGATGGCTCTAGCTGGGCTAGCAGACGACACACTATTCCAAGACGGATTGAAAAAAACAACAACTGAAAGTTTAATTATAAGCACAGGTACTCTACGTTATATTATCACTTTATGAAGTCTCTGTAACCATTTCCAAATAATACAGATGTAATAATTAGGAGATAAACATACTGTGTGTTTTCAATGTAGAACTAGGTTACCGCGCTAAACTGAATTTGGAACACAACGCGCAGCGTGACGTTTTCAAATGTTTAGCGCAGTTAAATCTACAGGTAACCTAGCTCCACATTGAAAACACAGTATGTTTATCTCCATTCTACCATGACTAAATAAAACGCAAACTCTTTGGTGTTAGCAAATATACTGAGTGGAACGGCATGGGTTGAGTTCAGTGTTAGGAGTGGGTTGTCGATCTGAATTTATGGAATCCCCGACAACAGCCTTTCAACAAGATATGGCGCTCTATATGCTCAAGCAGTTTATGTCAATAGTATCCCAAAATAGGTTGGATTAAGGTGATATGAAACTAATATATTAAGATGACATAAAACGGAATTATATTTGCAGTTTACTCAAAGTTTGCTACATTGTTAAAACAGTTTTAAACCGCAGCAAGGCTACTCATTCTCAACTTGCTGGACACAATATAGCTGGACAGGGGCTCGAGAGGGGACATTGAAGGACCCTTCGCTCATCAGTCAACAGTAACCATATGGGATATTGTAGGGACATGCTTGGCATGAATGGTTGAAAAACTGCAGGGGACTGAGGGCAGGCAGCTGATGGTACAGACAGATAAGAGGGACCATTTTAACTTCAAACCCTTATTCCCCACAGAAGATGTATAAAGACAATGTCGGGACAATGGAATGACGTCGCTGGAGACAACACATTAAATATTATTAGATTTGTTTAGACTTGTTGTTTTTTAAGGTTAAGGTGCCAGATCTTTCCATAGATTGATTACATTTGTTTGTTAATTATTTTTGAATTCATGATAATAGTGTCATAGCGCCTGATTTACGACACCCATTGTCTGAAGAACATTTAATTGCAAAGGCTCATTACCCTGGAGCCATGACATCTTTATGCCTTGAAACACTTAATTGCTGTTATTTATAAGATGCTAATCCTAATTGTTAATCCCCATTTTTGTGTACATCGACCGTCTGCCATCCTGAACGAGATGTGCAAGTATGTCACTGATGAATTACTGTTTATATCTATATTTATTACTTACTAAATGTCAGGTGACCTTGGCTATATAAGCCTTGGTCCAGAAAGATTGACGGAAAAAAAGAAGGTCTTACTCTTAGTCTAGCTGGGGTGAGGCTGGGTGCTCCGGGGCACCTAGACAACAACCACTACCACTATGTGCTGACCTGGCACATAGTGTCTTTTGTATGGATATATCTACATGTATAAAGTAAAACTGTATATACCGCAAGCCATCGTCTCCAAGTTGTCACTTCCTACTGAGAACCATACGTCGGCCCCTTGCATATACGAGTATGCAAATTATTCATTAATCAACGTCAGACCACACGCGTTGTTTATTGTGTTCAACTTTCTTAGAGCTTGTTACTGTTTTATTCAGGCTGTATTCGTGTGACAGATACGAGCTTGACCTTCCCCTTACCGTTATAGTTATACACTCGAATGTATATAATAAATGCATTATTGTCTACAGCATTATCCCATTGGAGGTAGAATATGTCCCAGGCACTATAGAGAGGCGACTTGCAGAACGGGTGGTCAGTCTCGGTGACTTGGTGTACTGCGCCATCATATCCCGGGTGCGGAGGACGTCGCTCATATCAAACACTTTTGTCTGATTCGATTATTTACAGTGCCGTCATACAAGAAGGTGAGGTGAAATGGGGTTCAACGTTCAACGTGTGTGTGTGTGTGTGTGAGTGTGTGTGTGTGTGTGTGTGTGTGTGTGTGTGTGTGTGCGCGCTTGCTTGTTCTAGTCCGGACTGATGCCGAGTTTATAGTGCCAGCTCACTGAGATACCATGCCACAGTTTAACTTGAATACCCCACTCAGACACAGTATACTGACTCTGAGCCTACCAGTCCTGGTTTTAGCCCCTTAATCCCGAGCGCCAGGCAGGGCAACAACAAGTACCATCTTTTTTAACCTCACTTAGTTTGACGCGGCCGGGGATCGAACCCCGACCTTCAGCTCTCTGCATGGGTGGGCGGTCTACCACTAGACTACAGACTCGGTCCGTCATACGAGGATCAAAACCAGCGCCCAAATGTGTGTTAAGCAAACATGGAGATCTGTGTCAGGTAAAGTGTTGATTAAATTTTATTCTGTTTCATTCCCAAGGCGTATCAATAACAATCAGACAATCAGCCAACCAGTGTGCCCACCATAGCCGCCATAGCCGCTTCCTTCTTGAGGTGCTGCAACATAGGTTAGCATAGGATATATAGATATACGATGACAGACTGAACTCCGAGCTCCAGATAAGCGTTTGGTGTTGTGGTGTTTTACCCATGCATTTTAAAATTATTGGGTACCAGTAATTCTATCTGGGTATTCAAATTTCTGTTACCCACTAGTTTTTACACATGTGGGTATTTAAGTTAAATATTTAAAAACACTATTCATCTAGTCCCTGCAAACTGGTGTCGTGTGGGTTCGAGAGCTTTATAGGACTCAAAAATAATCACGATACTTCCACAAGAAAGTGTGATGACCAATGATCAAGATGTAACTGTCATCGTGGAGTTTGGCAAGGTTGACGGAATGCCAGTCTATAATTTCAAAATAAGTTGCTGATTTGCTAATCGAATACGCAGGGTTACTTGACAATATTTTGATGATACGCACAAGTTTTATTTTTGTAGCGTATCTGTAATGTTCGTTGCTTATTTGATACGCTTGGATCTTATTTTACTGCATATTTCTGCATTTCTGATGCGTATTTTACGCAGATACGCAGCTTATCTGGGGCTCCGTGAACTGCTCTCAACATTGTGTTACAGTTATATGTGGGAGGACGTGACGTTTATCGCTCTGGCGACTTCTACGGATATCAATAGTGCATAACCAGGGCGAATCTGGGATTCGAACCCATGACAAGCGATTCCTGGCAGCTTAAGAACCCTTCAGAACGAATTGTGGCACATTAGACAGGGACCATGTTTAAGTAAGTTCACGCTGGTGGGGTGTTGCATATACATATATACATACATACATACATACATACATACATACATACATACATACATACATACATACATACATACATACATACATACATACATACATACATACATACATACATACACAAACCTCGATAATAAAACACATAAGTGTTTTAGTCAATTGAAGAATACATATTTCATACATTTATCATTATTAGTGTTGGTGTTACATGTTACATATTCTATCAATATTACTGAAGGCATTGAGTGAATAAGAACGTAGCAACGGATGCGTTTGAACTCCAAACACAATACAAGATCACACAGAGAAGCGTTAATGTGAAACAAGACGATGTGGGTTTTGCTTACCTCCTCCACCAGATGGTTGAACTCTTTAGCCTGATCAGCATCGACATCTGAAATTGGAATATGAGATATTGTTATCATCTATTGGTCGGTGTTGTCGATGGGATAAGCTGATAAATTTTTAAGCTCCAATGATCGATGCAACGTACACTTGATAACAATATGATTGCATTAGGATTCCAATAATTTTAGACATGGACGTTTGTGTTAATAAATAAAAGCTACAAAACCCTTTCCATATTCATAAGAAATCTCTGTCAAAAGCATTTTACGATTCCGACTATATCATGAGAATGTGTTTGTGAATCACTATCATATAGTGATGACACAAGGTGGTCGAGAAAAGGTGAGGGTATCCTGCCCTACCGGTGGAACCCGTCACAAACAGTTTGAAGATAAGTATTAAGTGGAACAGGGTTATGTCCTGCCTCATCTGGCAAGAAGAACCTGCTGTAACTTTATCAACTGGAGGGGGGAGAACTGGATTGACGGATATCAAATTGATATGTGTTTTTTAGTAAGGTTTCTTTGAGACAAAAAGCCAATCTTGAATCAATACCTATAGTTCATTACATTCTTCTCAAGACCTCTGCAATTCTATTGTATAACGTTTTATGGATTCATGGTGCTTCCCCAGGAGGTGTATCATATGAACGTGAGGGAGACTTTGTATTGCTTCTATTGGTGTCATGTGGAGATGTGGAGTTGGAGATGGACCTCTATGGGATCTCTAAAGTAGAGGTGGCCTTTGGTGGTGGTGCTTGCAGTTGCTCTTATTGCTGCTTTTGTCGTAATAATTTTTGTTGTTGTTGTTAGAAATCCGTGAAGATCCGGGGTATTAGGTCTTCAGCAATCCATGCTTGACGTAAAAGGCTGTTTGTCGTAAGAGGCAACTAACGGGATCGGTGGTCAGGCTCGCTGACATGCAAGTCATCGATCCAAGTTGGGTAGATCGATGCTCATGATATCAACCACTGTATTGTCTGGTCCAGACTCGATTATTTACAGACCGCCTTCATATAGCTGGAATATTGCTGAGTGCGGCGTTAAACAACAAACAAACAAACTGAGAGACATACAAGTAAGCCTATCCACTTACTGGACATTAACAGCAAGACTGCACTGTATCCCTTTGAGGCGATGTATTGGGTGAGTTGATCGTGCTGCGCGGCGAACATCATCTCGATAAATATCTGCTTGTCGATGTCATTGAGGTCTTCCAAAATCAAGTTGATGATGTGTAGATCCTTCATAAAGCTGAACAAGTCTTGCTGACTTTGACGTTTCTGTGTATAAAGGAGTATTGTCATTGCAATGTCATTATATATACTACTTAAAATAAGTTAAAGAACACCCGATTCTTTCATATTACTATAGTTAACCTGTCATGGCATGGCAGTACATTTTCCAACCGAGTTTCAATAACATATCACCGCTATTAGCTGCAATATTACCGATGCGGCGTAATAGCAATATTAGCCCACTCATTTCATGGACGCCGGAATATTATTTCATAGAGGTTTCAGGGTGGTTACATAACAGATCGCCGTGACATACCGGTGGCTGAAATATTGCTGACTGGGGCGTCAACTACAAAACAGAAAGCAAACAAAACCCAATTTCTAAATTTTTAATCCGTCGCTGACTCAGAGATGTGTTGCACAATTACAGTTGAACTTCTTACCTTAGATATGGCCCCAGGTGTCGAGAGAATGCCTGGTGTCGTGAGTATGTCAGATGTTGGGGACACAGCATCTACGAACCCAGGCCTCAAGTGCTGAAAAGATATACATGTATGATCTTGTTGGAGTGTAGCTATTGTCCCATGCCTCACCAGCCGTTAGGTATCGATATGTTTCTTTTTGTATCGAGATTATATACATTTTAGCTACAGCAACAAAACCAGGTACTTTTTGGTTTAAAATTTTGCGCCTGAATTTGTCAACAATGACAGTTTGGTATCAGGCAATGTCTGCAATAACAGTAAGCTATGTTGGTCTCACACTGGGGATTCCGGGCAAGAACAGGTCACAAATAACCTATGCTGGTCTCACACTGGGGATTCCTGGCAGGAACAGGTCCCCAGTAACCTATGCTGGTCTCACACTGGGGATTCCTGGCAAGAACAGGTCCCAAATAACCTATGCTGGTCTCACACTGGGGATTCCGGGCACGAACAGGTCCCCAGTAACCTATGCTGGTCTCACACTGGGGATTCTTGGCAGGAACAGGTCCCAAATAACCTATGCTGGTCTCACACTGGGGATTCCTGGCACGAACAGGTCCCCAGTAACCTATGCTGGTCTCACCCTAGGGATTCCGGGCAAGAACAGGTCCCAAATAACCTATGCTGGTCTCACACTGGGGATTCCGGGCAAGAACAGGTCCCCAGTAACCTATGCTGGTCTCACACTGGGGATTCCGGGCAAGAACAGGTCACAAATAACCTATGCTGGTCTCACACTGGGGATTCCTGGCACGAACAGGTCCCAAATAACCTATGCTGGTCTCACCCTGGGGATTCCTGGCACGAACAGGTCCCCAGTAACCTATGCTGGTCTCACCCTAGGGGTTCCGGGCAAGAACAGGTCACAAATAACCTATGCTGGTCTCACCCTAGGGATTCCTGGCAGGAACAGGTCCCCAAATTACCTATGCTGGTCTCACGCTGGGCATTCCTGGCAAGAACAGGTCCCAAATAACCTATGCTGGTCTCACACTGGGGATTCCGGGCAAGAACAGGTCCCCAGTAACCTATGCTGGTCTCACCCTAGGGATTCCGGGCAAGAACAGGTCCCCAGTAACCTATGCTGGTCTCACACTGGGGATTCCGGGCAAGAACAGGTCCCAAATAACCTATGCTGGTCTCACCCTAGGGATTCCTGGCAAGAACAGGTCCCCAGTAACCAATGCTGGTCTCACCCTAGGGATTCCGGGCAAGAACAGGTGCTCAGTAACCTATGCTGCTTTTAAGAGACGACTGCATAGATCGGATGGTCATCCTCGATGACTTGAGTGGCTACCAGTATCAGTGTCTGGTCCTCACATGGTTATTTACAGGCCGCCATCACACCTACATCATTACAACCTTTGACCCTTGTTATTGTGTACCCTAATGCGGAGAATGGTTGTTGCTCGTACTATCAACCACCAGTCAGCATGGATACAGCTGTTTCCAGGAAAACTAATGTCGTTTTATTGAGCATGCAGCTGGAGAGGAATGTTATACCTCAAACTTTCTTGTTCAGCTGCTGTAATCTTTGTATTGGGACTGACAATAGCCAGGTATTACTTGAATCAATACCGGACCGATTGTCATTTTTAATGTTCGAAAAAGACATAGTTTTTTTTAATTCTTATTTATATTTTTCAGAAAGCCTATGTTATATATTCATCCAATAAGTACACCAGGCCATTTTGAATCTTAAAACAGAAAGAGGAGAAAGCAGAATATATAGGAACACGTTATAGTTATTTATTACTTGACGTGCTGATCAGATGGTATTAATATATTCAGGTTACTGTGGACAAATCCCACACCCGAATCCTCACAGGGATAAACGGTACCAGTGGTTACCGACATGCATACCCGTGAAGATCCGGAGTAGAATAGGTCTTCAGCAACCCATGCTTGCCCTAAAAGGCGACTATGCTTGTCGTAAGAGGCGACTAACAGGATCGGGTGGTCAGGCTCGCTGACTTGGTTGATGCATGTCATCGATCCCAATTGAGGGGATCGATGCTCATGATATTAATAACTGGATTGTCTGGTCCAGACTTAGTTATTTACAGACCGCCGTCATATAGACGGAATATTGCTGAGTGCGGCGTTAAACAACAAACGAACGTGGCACTGTAAACTAATCTGTGTCCCACCCTGGAAGTTACTTATGCAGTACTTACCGCGGACAAGTACCCCTCTAAGTGAGGAATGTCATCTTCATCCAGAACTGAAAGTAACAGTCTCCATATAGTCTGTTGGATTACCGCAATAGTAATACTAATAAACTAATGAAGCAAGATTTATATAAAGCCTGGTTTCGATCACAAGGTGCTCAACGGCGCTCACAATATAAACCAATGGGCAACAGAAAGTATACACTTGAAATTTGGATTTGATCAAGAAATTACAAACGTTATCAAAACGTTACTAGGCTGAAAACAGTCGCCGAAAACACTGCAAACTTCAGGTCAAAAACACAACTATGATACCCGATCAAATGCATCACCATCGAATAACCATGTCTTGTAAGTTTTTGTCCCTGAGTATTTTTAAACATGGCGTCATATCCCTACGTCATATCCCAAAGTGGTAAACGTCTGATTCCTTCATCACTTCGGGCTCTCCTCCCACATTAAGCTGACAAGCCGCGATATAACTGGAATACTGTTAAAAGCGGCGTTAAACACAACTCACCCACTCACTAACTCGTAAACGTTCATCCGTCTGTAATTGACAACCGGTTACGTTTTCGTTTGAAACGTTGATACCACTCGGCTCACCCCTATTACGTCATCTCACAGCACATGGAGGAGTCCATTTTGGAACTAGTCTTAGTCACGTGACTATCACACGACACGACAGTATCTGACGCAGACTCGCCTCTAACATAAAATGTTAAAAGTCTTCGTATGTAGCTTTTGATTATTATTAGACATACTTTAGGCTGTTTTCAAAACCGGCCGTCATGTTGTACGAACATTATTAGGCGGGATCCGTCAGTAATTGGAATACGGTGAAATTATCTGATATCACTACACTTGTGTTTTCCGTGGTATTAAGGTGGAGGAAAAGGCCGAATGAACCCGAGTGTACACTGATACCTACGGTCAAAGAGTTCGAGAAGCTTGACAAATCCGATTTGATCTATTAGAGCAGTCAGTTCGGTCGTTCCTTGCACGGCCGCCGACACCAGGCTGTTGAAGAGAGTCTGTGAATCACCAGGCAACCTCTTGAAGTCGTCACTATCCCGTATCTCGTTCAGATAGTCGACGAATAATGACGAGTTGGTGTAGTCGTGATGTTGGTCTGCCACGACGGCCACCACAAGGAGAGCAGTAACGAGTACAAACTTCATGGCTCGCTGGAAGTAGATCGGATGGCACTTAGTGATGTTAACCATCTTTTAAACAGTCCGGAAGGCAGGATGCCAAGTTTATAAAGCATCACATCATACTCTCAGGACGGATATAACGAACCCATTTCGATTGGTTAGAACAGGACAGGACAGGACAGGACAGGACAGGTCAGGACAGGACAGGGCAGACAGGACAGGACAGGACAGGACAGGACAGGTCAGAACAGGACATGACATGACAGGACAGGACAGGACATGACAGGTCTGGTAAGGACAGGACAGGACAGGACAGGACAGGTCAGGTCAGGACAGGACAGGACAGGTCAGGACAGGACAGGACAGGACAGGACAGGACAGGACAGGACAGGTCTGGTCAGAATAGGACATGACAGGACGGTACGGGGCGGGACGGGACGGGACGGGACGGGACGGACAGGACAAGACTATATTTCTTTCAGGTCGAGAGCCTCGGTGCATTAGGTACAAAATGAAATGAGAATGTATTGGCAGTTTGAATAATATATGTAAATTTACATGATTTTTTAAATATTGATAGCTTAAGAGAATTAAATACAGCTTAGAAATGTAATGCATTATGTTTCTATGTCAGCACCATATCCGTGCTCGTGGGTTTCACCGAAGTGGTAAACATCTGAGACCCGCATCACTTCGGGCTTTCATCCCGAATTAAACAGACACGCCGTGATATAACTGGAATACTGTTAAAAGCGGCGTTAAAACCAACTCACTCACTCTTCTGTTAATACTTGTTCAAGGAATTGTACAGGAATATCTTCAGTGTGTTTTACATTTTCAAACCCCAGTGTGTTTTTTTTATACCTATAAAGGAATTGGTTTAACAATAGCGTCAAAAAGATACAGCTGTTTTTTAAACGATGTATTTTATAAGCGTTTGGCCAGCCGTCGTATGGCAGGAGTACTGTTAGGAAACAAACACTTACTTTTTATGCAAATTGTGTGTGTAGGAAGTGACAACGTAAGGACAGGACGTGCTTATCTTTTTGCGAGCACACGGTGCTAACACTGTTTTTCAGTGATCCATTCATATTTTTTTTCATGTAATATAAATTAATAAAATACTTTTCATTTCAGAAGTGTTAGTCCAGTTGAATGAACGGGTACTACTACTTACTATGACGTTTTTCGCACTTCGAGGTCCTACTGCAGTGTAGGGTGTAGGACGTGTTGCAGTGAATGGTTGTATTTACGTAACATATTTATAGACACGCGACGCCACAGAAATAAGACATGTATAGCACACAGGTGGTAGGTTTCGGGAGCACGATACTGGCCTGATTTCTATTTTGACAATGCACGATGTCGTGCAGCGAAATCCTTGATGTTGTTTTGGACAGTGACGTGCACATATTGTGTCAATTCCGTGACAAAAACCGGCAAAAATTCGTCAACACATCATGGTGTAAAGCCATTGGCGTACATCCCGTCCCTGGTGTTGCCTAGCCGACCCAAATTTTTGCCATCTATGGTAAGCTGTTCGGGTCACAACCTTCACGGGACGCCTTGCTTTCAGGCAGCCTGCATAGAGAAGGTTTTAACGGTCGATGTTGAAATTCGCCCTTCCGTTATTGTACTGAAGTCTCTATTGATAACAGGAGCAGATTTAATGTGATCAGATGCAACGCCACGGCATTGTAAATGTAACCTTAATGATACCTATATTAACTATTTTTTATCGGTAGTATATATGTTTGGATTTTCTGTTTGGCTGAAAAGACTTATGCACTTGTTCCTGTGGTCAAACATCATAGACAGATATACTATAAATATAGACGTCAATAGTTATGTGGGGTAAAAAAAAGATAAATATACATTAATAATCACGCCTTTTGTACCACCAAACCTCCTTGTCTGATCTTACGACGAGGTGCGTGGGGTAGCCTACTGGTTAAGGTCCGGGTTCGATTCCCCGCATGGGTATGTAATGTGTGAATTATTGGTTAGGCTGGAATAGCGCTAACAGCTGCGTAATACCTCACTCACTCACGACATGGGTTACTTCTACATATTCTATAAAGCAAGCCCCAGTGGGCTCTGATATTCGAACTTTTATGATATATTTGCAACTTACTACCACCACAAAAGCACTGAAAGACATCCAGGTCTTGTCGACTTTACTTGGCCTTGAAAAGCCAATCCCATCTCATGTAAAGAAGCATACGTCCTACGCGAAATGACCATGAAGCTGACCTTGGCTTAGCACAGTACAGACGAGGATTTATCAGTAACTTATTTTTTAATTCCATGTTCTACATTTTGTAGGTCAAGGATTTGTTTATATATATGATGTTACACAGGTACATGGTCGTCCATTCGTATCGGTGTTAATATTGTTTCGATGCTCTACACTTTAAAAACGAAATGGTGTTCTCGATATGATGGACAAAAAGGTCTTTAACTTCATTTATTACACGTTACTTACGACCATGGTTAAAGCTGACGTCTTAGATTTGAAAAATGAAAGACACATATTTCGTGACACATATAATCGGCCAACATAAGACAACGGTATTTTTTGCTGATCGAGTATATTTCTGTTCAGTCATATTGCACATGTGCAACAACATCCAACATCTGGCCCACCTACACCTTTCATATTACTTCCCATGGGCACCTTTCATAGCGTGCCCTTTGTTTACATCACCGGGCTCAAGCTTCCTTGATGGACGGGCGTTTTCGTTTGTTTTGAATGGTGACGTCAGCCAAGTTGGTTACGGGTTTCGTACAGAGCGGTGCGTACCCAGTGTTAGAAACATGATATAGCATGGCCATTACTGCTGACTTTGCTTTCACGGGTTCGCCAGGAAAATTAAATAGTTGGCGATGTAATTTGGGAACATTGATCAACAAAAATGAAATCAACTTTGTCTTGGAATTTATACAGTCACTGGGTCATAGCGGGGGCATGTACATGTTGTTAATTAGTCTTGACATACTCCCCTTCGAAGTCCACACACATCTGCCAACGATGCTGGAGTTCCTGGTTCCCATTGGTGTAGAAAGTTTCCTACTGGGGGTGTAAGTCCTCCACAACAAGATTGACGTAATCGTCATTTGCTTGCCAGGCAGTTCTTTGTTCAAGTGTTGGATGAGGTGGAAATCTGATGTCGAGTACGGAGGATGTTCAATGAGTTCAAAGCAACAGCGATGAACTCCGGCCAATGGCGACAACAAACTTCTGCGCAGGCGCATTGTCCTGGTACAACAACGCACGTTTTGTGAGTTTCCCTCGCCGTTTAACCTCGATATCCTCACGCTGTTGCCTCAGCAGATTAGGATAGTATTGATCTCCGAAAGGTAGTCCACCAGTAGGGTATTTTGGAATTCCAGAAAGCTAAGGGCATCACCTCACCAGCTGATGGAAGAGATTGTGCCTACTACGCATGAGGAAACGTTGGATGTTTCCAATGCCTTTGACTGTAGGTAATTCTCTGGCTGATAGGCGCGCTCGTCACGTCGCAGACCCTGGTCGAATCCCTACATGGGTTCAATAGGAAGCCCATCTTGGTCTCCCTGCCGAAATATATCACTGAGCTGCTGGTGTTTTCACTTTATTGTCAGTCTATGTACGTACATGCGTACGTGCGTGTGTGCGTGCGTGCGTGTGTGTCCATATGTGACTGTGTGTGTCTGTATTCAGATTAATCGTAAAAGAAAGGGATCCTGTGTTCATGTCTGATAGAATGATAATCTGGCTAATTTTCAATTAGGCTGGGAAATCAATCTCTGAGTATTTGTTGAAGGAGAGGGGTATGAGTATTAGTTTAGGTGTATCACGTGCTTGTTAGTTAGTATAACCGTACCCTATTGATCAGCTGATCAAAGCCGTGGGCTTCATCATGGTCAATTTCTGCCGCAAAGGTTAAAAAATGTCAACTGCAGGAGGTTCTGGATAGCGCTATACTGAAGAGCAATTGCGGAAGGCTCTGTATAGCGCTATACTGAAGCACAACGGGAGAATGTTCCAGATAGCGCTATACTGAAGAGCAACTGCATGAGTTAAGGATAGCGCTATACTGAAGAGCAACTGCATTAGTTCTGGATAGCGCTATACTGTAGAGCAACTGCGGAAGGTTCTGAATAGCGTTTTAATGAAGAGCAATTGCGGGAAGTTCTGGATAGCGCTATACTGAAAAGAAACGGGGGAAGGTACCGGATAGCGTTATACTGAAGAGCAACGGGAGGAGTTTCCGGATAGCGCAATATTGAAGAGCAACAGAGGAGGTTCTAGTTAAGGAGGCTGTAACGTTTATAAATAGTTATCCGATTTATTTTTTCAAAACAAGACATTTTTATCTATTTAATCTTTAGTAAAGAGAATGTCTTTTAACGCATCAGTCAGCACTATTTCAACTTCATTACGACGGCTTCTTAATTACTGAGTATGGGCCAGACAACCGAGGATTAACAGGATGAACAAAACTTGTCATCACGGGAAGGATGGCGCCAATAAGCCAGGTCGCCGGGCTTTGGAAATATCTGTGAGTGGGTTGGACGTGCGAAGGAGCTAGGGCAAGTCAGAGTGTTCTGCTGGTGTTATTACGACAGCTTTTTCTTATCTTCCACGTAGATCGTATTAAGTTGAAGAGGTGACAATTATCTAAATACAAACGACAAAAACCCTTTCTATATTCATTACAAATCTTTGCCAAAAGTAGACTCAATTGTACTATTCAGATTATATCATGAGTATGTGTTTACGAATCACTATCAAACAGTGATGACACCAGGTGTTTGCGAAAAGGTGCACTTGTCACAAACACATGCAAAGGAAAGTCAAGTGTACACCTTCAAAAACATGGGAACATATGTGGAAATGTTCTCCACATGTCTACCATAATGCTTTTCAAAAGCTTTACTGAAGCCTTGAATGTTGTAACCCTGACTAATCAACTTTTGAGCAAGCGTCGTATGATACTCTTTGAAATCTTGGTGGACAAAGCAGGCTCGGATGCACCTCAAACGTTGTGAAATGAAAGGCTGGAATAGCGCTCGACATGAAAGGGAAAGTTGACTATTGGAAATGCAATCTTGTTGAGACTTTTTTGTCACTATATTTCTTTTTGCATAGATTGAGAAATGAAACAGACGGGGCGGTCTCAATAGTCACCTTTATATCTTGTTTAGATGGTTAAAATCCGTAGAAGGGGATTGGGTATTTGACTGTTATTGAACAAAATAAGATCTTTTAGGAAAACGTCTTTGCAAAATTCGAGGAAAAATTCCGATGGATATGCTAAGAGAAACAGATCAGCAAAAGGGGAACACTATAATTATTTGTGCCCATGGGGATGCCTTTGTCTTGCTTGAATGTTTTACCCACAAAGTTAAAATACATGTTATCAACGAGGAAATCTGACATTTCACATATTGTTTTTCAGTAAACTTCAGATGACCTTTACTATCAGTTTTGACAAAGTGCCTAGTGAGTGAGTGAGTGAGTGAGTATGATTTTACGCCGCTTTTAGCAATATTCCAGCAATATCACGACAGGGGACACCAGAAATGGGCTTCACACATTGTACCCATGTCGGGAATCGAACCCGGGTCTTCGGCGTGACGAGCGAACGATTTAACCAGTAGGCTACCCGACCGCCCCCCAAAGTGTCCAGAACCTTTTGAAGATAGATATGCAACTATATTTATGGTCACCTCGTTTAGTATCATTTTCTTCGACGCACTCAGCAAACTATTCCAGCTGTATGACGGTGGCCTGTAAATAATCGAGTCTGGGACAGACAGTCCAGTGATTGACACCATGAGCATCGATCTAGGCAATTGGGATACGATGACATGCATCAACCAAGTCAGCAAGCCTGACCACCCGATCCCATTAGTCGCCTCTTACGACAAGCATAGTCTGAAGATATCTCATACATGCGTGCTGAATTTCAACTTCATGTGGATGTTGGAGGGGTTTATAAAGAAACAGGTTGTCATATTTGTCATTTGGTCAGTTTCAGTAATGTTTGTAAACTCTATATCAACGGATATCGGGTTATTATGACGTTATATATACACATACTATTTATACCATACAGGTTATCATAATTATATTATTAATATGTGCTTACTAAATTTGTAGACAGACAGACACTCTTTCATATCTCTTTTTCCCAACATTTTGGGGACAAGCTAGAGTGAACAAGGCATCAATTAAGCATGATGCTTTACAACATGGCTTATTAACAGTACTGTGACAAGTCATTATCTCTGTCTTTCCTACCTGTAGCTTCTAACAGATCGTAAAA